GCAAGGTGTATTGCCCTAGTTCCTTCCTTTATCCTACGGATGTTGCTCTCCAATTTGGAGTTGTGGAAGGGATCATTCGGCAAACTTGGTTCCGGTAACATCCTAGCTGCTTGACGGCTTCGGTAAGCTCTTGGGCTGAATCTGACACGACCGAACATAATGCACAACCATGGGCTTTCGACCCACCGAATTTCCGCAGACAAGCTACGTTGTTTGATGTTGCTCTTGATGCTTGGGAAAATGCTTGATAAACCCCACTGTACTCATCATGACAAATGAGGCAAGCTTGTTCTCCCTCAGAACCCTTTGAAACTTCACTTCCAATAATGATATGATCGACACGAAGCTGATGCCCAAAATGGAGTGGTGGCTTCTCATCTGGATCAGGATCACCCCTTTTCCTATGGTGTCTAGAAGTCATTTTAGCTCTCATGCATATCTCACAATGCTTGCTTTTGGGGAAGTGTGTCAATGAATGGTTCAAAGTCTTTACGGCTTCTTCTCCATCATCCTCTGAGGAGGGAGGATTTTCCGGTGGGCCCCCTTCACCTCCTAAACTAGGACTGGGACTGACATCACGAACCCTTGAAGTACCAACCAATTCTTTAGATTCATCCGACTCTAGCACCAATGGCTCATCACCTGGAACCGATTTCGGATGAACTGATGGCGCAACATCCTCATGCGAAGCCGATGGCGATTTCTCACCAAGTGGAGCCGAAGAAGGCTTCTCACTTGAAGATGAGGCCGATGAACCTGTTGCATGTGGCTTTTCTGGGACTTCATCCACAGCTGGCACTGCAAGGCACTCGACAGTTTCTGACAAAACAGGCACATTCTGATCATTCTGCTCAACTCTATCAACGTAAAGCTTAGCAGACTCAAGACAATGGAATGTAACGTCTGATAGACGATGAGATTGAATGAAAAACGGCCATTGGTTTGGGAACCATATCCATGCTTTACCTTGCTCACTGACCTGTTGACCAAGTGATATGGCTGCTGGACAATCCTTCAACGTGTAAAAGATACCTTCACCTGAGACCTCACCTTTCAACTTCAATGCCTTAGAGCTAGGGTGCATGCCACCGCCCGTTGCAAATCTCAATTGTTCTGGGGCATCAGCAATGAAATCATTCCACTGGACCAGCATATCCTTTGTGGAGATCAAATTCCTACCCGCCCCTGAATCAACCAAGAATTCTTGTTGGAAACCCTGGGGACTGCAAACTGCGGCAATGGCTGCAAAACATTTCATGGTCTTTTCGAACAACATGGGTGATGCAAAATCTTTAGGCCTAACGGAGCCTGAAGGCTGCTCGCACCCGAACCTACGACTGAACTCGATGCAACGACCCCTGGAACTGTCTTAGCTGCACCTGCGTACACAGTGGCAGAACCGGCTGGTGTCGATTTGGTCAATGGCTTGGGCTTTTCACCCTTGTAGAGATTATTCTTGTCATGGAGATATGGGCATTTGTCCCCCTTGGTGCAAGAATCGAATGCAAAGTACATGCATGGCTGTTTGGACTTCTCACCCTTCTGCGGTTTCTTGGTCTTGTCATTTGGCTGGTCTGAGTTACTTACCCTTCTTCCCCTTTCCGTTCCCTTTGGAAGTTCCAGGAGCGGCACTTACTGCTTCCTTCGGTGAGGTACCCCCTTGACCTTTACTTTCATCGTTCTTAGATTCGTTCGTGTTCTTCGAATCTTTCTTTGACCTTTCCTTTTCGGGCTTCTCCTTTGTTGGTTTTGTCGGTTCCTTTTTAGGAACGGGCTTGACCGGACCAGCTGCTGGAGTTTCTTTCGATCCACCTGTTGTTTTCAAGGCCTTTTCGGCAAATGTTGTGTTCTCATCTTGTTGAGCCAACTCAATGGTTTCATCAATTTTCTCCATCAACCATCTGGACGTTCGTTTGGACGACCCTTCCCTGGCTGACCTGAACTTGTCAATTGCTAATGCCATCAATGGATGATTCTTGACATTCTCATAGGGCATGGATCTCAATGCTGATTCTTGAGGCATTTCCCTGCTCCAATGAACCCATGATGTATAACATCTTTTGACGGAAGTCCTCCAATGACTTGACATCTTTCCCATGAAGCTTCATACTAAGGAGATGATGTTGACTCAGGCTCGCACCTCTGTCCTTGTCGAGGCTGTACTTGTTCAGGATGAACCACAGCAGCGCACGGCCGGAAGGTTGTTTGCCTACCTTTTGGCATCTTTCTTGCAACGCTTGAAAATCCAAACTGAACTTTGAACCTCTGGCATTATCCAAAAGTTTGTGCCCCAAAGCGCGGTCCAAAAGAGGATAATTTCCTACGTTCTGGAATTCAGCGGCTGATTGTGCAATCCCACAACGTTGGATCCATGCTACAAGAGGTGTTTCACCACCCTTGCATAGTTTGCAAATTGCTGAAATCACTTGATTCTTGAAACCCCTGCATTCAGCTGCATTCTTCGGGATGGCCGAAATCTTGAGAGAATCATACCCTTTGATGCGCATGAGTCTCTTTTCAGTCTTGTACGGATTTTCATCCCGTTTTGCTGATGACGATGAACCAAAAGCTGCAACTGAACCATCTGACTCATGATCAGAACCCCCAGGACTCCCTCCACCTCCACCCGGTTGAGATGAAGATGACGAACTGGAACTCCCTTTGTCTGATGGCTCTCTGGCTGACGGGGATCTAGAAACCTGCTGCTCAATCTGCGCTAGCATTGACTTCATGTTGGAAATAACATCTTCAACCGGAGGTGATGATGACTTACTACGTCCTTCTTACTTGACCCTTCATCCTTGGCAGACTGCTCTACAGCTTGGTTTGCATGAGCAACAAGCAACGGATCCAATGATACATGCAGTTCGTTTCGAACATTTCACTGATAATTCATCACATAGGTGTTCCCCATCCCTGGTGACCCGACCGGACCGGTGCTGGAAGGTTCTGGATATGAGGACCTATCGAACGGATTGGCTGGAACATTCTGCATTTGGTCATTCGGACTACCTTGCAAAAACTGTGACAATGTTGCATCAGGACTCCCATTCCCTAAGGCCAACTGAACTTCACTATTGTTACAATTGTTGGTGCCCAAAGGCATCTCAACATTTGGTTGTTCAACTATGGCTTCAATGGCGGTGCCTAAAGGCAACACACCAGACCTTTGAACCTCAGGTGATGAAAATGACGAACTTGATGAACTAGTCATTGCAACATGCACAGACGATGCTTGAACCCGAAGACCTGATCTAGACCTACTATCACTTTCGGAAGACTCATCAATCCTGGCGTCGAACCCGGACATGTTCACGATTTTTCTGCCAATTCGGAATGTACTCGATGAGCTTCTCTTCGATAAGCTCACCGCACTCCTCAACAAATTCTTTCGCTGCTCCAGCCCTTCTTGCAGATGGCTTTCCACGCAGCTTGAGATGAATTGTAAAAATGGCAGACTCACACTCAGCGATGGTATTGGAATTATCGTCCACTAGGGCCGTTGGGGCTTTGCGCTGCGCCAGAGCTTCAATGGCCGCCTTCTTCCCGTGACTCCCAACCTTCGACCTTGTAACCACCACAAACGAAATTAAAGAACTGAGTCCCTCAGTCGAATTGCACGCCTCCACCAATGATGTCAAGTTAGACTGTGACGCACTGATGTAAGAACAAATCGCAAAAACGATCCTGTTTTGGAACTTGTCTGTAAGACGCTTGAGCAGTTCAAGATTCTCCCAAGGTACCCGTTTCACTGCTTCTGCACTCTCCGTCTTCGATCGGGACAACGTATTATACCAATCAAGAACTACAAGAAACTTCTCTTCGGGCGGGATCTCACGATAAATACCACAAATGCCACAAAAATCCTTTGTCGACCGTTGCTCAACAAGCTTGTTGCCCGCTCCCCACACAAAAAGTAATGAAGAATCCGGTAGCAAGTAGCGAGGCCTCAAAGAAGATTCCTTCCCTGGCGGAGGATACTGCGGCTCCCTCGGAATCAAAGATGCTCCACTCCTAGGAGGCGGAAAAAATGGTTCCTTAGGAACTGCAGAAATTGACACGGCCTTAGGCTGCTGAGAAGCAATCGCCTCTGCACGTGCAATCGAACCCCTTTTCCGAGGGGGCGGGCCTGGCGGCGACCGCGGACGGTTCGAAGAAGAAGACGCACCCTGTGGCTCTTGGCCTGACAAAGTATCCTCCTCCTCCTCCTCTGCTGCGATTACCGAGTCTCTAAGAGTGGCGCGTGAATTCTCAATGTAAGAAGAGTCGATAACAAACGGGTATTTGTTTGAAAGCGCTCCGCTTTGCAAACTTCGAATGATGAAACCAACTTTTCCTGCACCCCTCCGGCCACCTCGGTGCCAGTCTATGAGTCTCCACAAGACGTCCCCAATCTGCTCTTCCCCTTCAGAAGTCACAGCCGGCGAATCAAGATACGAATGCAAGAATCGGCGGGCGATGAGGAAAAATTGCAGATTGGGACAAAGGGAAAACTACTGGTGAGCCTTGCGGCTGTAACCAGGAAAAACTCTGGCTACCCGACCGCACAAGGCAACGTAAACAGCAGTGAAGCTGCTCTCTCTTTTGCTGTGCTTGAGCCAAAGTCGGTAATGTGAAATGTTTGTTTCACCCGAACCTGGTGGTTCATGAAGTAGACAAGCACACCTAATGGACATCCATATTGGTACCATCAGTGTTCATGTCACAGATTAGCAAACTGTATTCCATGAACAATCTTTTGATGATATAAGTTCACATGACTAATTCCAGTATCATGCAATGGATGGAGCATCGACGGCTATGCACCCAAGCTTCAATCGAAATCATCACATTGTAGTTGGTGACACTTATGCATTCACATGCAACTCGATGGATGTTGGTGATACTGGTGCCATGATTTACCTGATACTTCTCGTCTTATCATCCATATATTACTATTATTATTATATTACCTTCTCTATCATTTTCCTAATCATCATGTTTGCTCGGCGAACGCCGGCCTCGGCACGAACCTCTGTAAGCGCCGACCTCAAAGTAGCTGATTCCGCAGCACGAGCTCTTTCTACTGCCACGCGCATCTGCAGGGCGACAAATCCGACAAGACGCGAAACCATCAGCAGCCTCTCTGCTGTTTTGAGAGCATTCCAATATTCCAAGGTTTGTGTAGAAACGAGTGAAAATGTGAGTTTGGTTCTACTTCTTTTCTGTGGGATGGTTCTTTGTCTTTCGGAAATTTCGTCATGGCCCTCCTGCAAGATGTGACTTGACCGTTCGCCTGTTGGAAAGCAACCTCTTCCTTCCCAAGGTCTCCACGCAAACCCAGTGCCTGACCCGGGTGTAAAGGGTCTAAAGGCTGCTGATGGGACAAGCAAAACATGAAAAGATGCCACGGATTGCCACGGTGTGGAACAACGCCAAGTGCAACTTTCGCCAAGTGCAACTTTCATGTCGAAACGTTGCGGTGTTTGATCGTTCTCTCTTTGGGCGAACAAAAGGGCCCTATATAATGATAGCTTCCTTTTTCATACCGCTTTGCATGTGCCGAGTTGTGTTTCTCTGGTCTTTGTATGTCTTTGTGATATATGGTGGTATCGCATCATAGTTTGTTAGCACTTTCCTGCATTATTTCTGCGTTCTCATGTTGACCAGTTTGCTTTCAATGTTGTGACCCGTTGAAGCTCCGTTCTAAAGAAACTGTGTTTTTTGTTCCAAAGGTGTCCGTTTTCGGGGGCTGTTCGTTTTGGGAAACGACCTCCTTCCGCATCGACCCCGCTTCGGCTTTGAAAGCTGCAACCTGGGAGGAGATCGAGGGTATCGCAGCTCGGAAAAATACAAACGCTAAGACACGCCATCAAACAAAGATACACAAAACATATCAAAACATCAACAAAACTATCTTGCAAGATACCGTTGCACACAACCACAAGGAGAAAGGAAAATCTTTGAGATCGCACATTGGAAATACATTGGATACATTCATGATACATGTATGAAAATTCGATGGGCTGCACGCAAGGTGACTTCAAAGTGCATTCCACAAGACTTCGATTTTGTTGAAGTCACAACATGAAGCGTCTGCAGGATGACAACGATGACAGCGATGACACTGAAGCGGGGGCTTCAGCGGTTGCTGCATTCAGCGAGTTTTCTTGTTGCTGCACGACGCGGGCTTCCTCCTTGTCAAACAGTACATCGAAAAAATCGCTGGAGTGCCAAGTCAGTGTGTTTCAACTGGCACATTGTGCTGTGGCCTGTGTCTTCTCTGATCTGCTCGTCTCATTGCAGTTGTGATAGTTTTCTGACAGTTTTCTGACAGTTTTCTGACAGTTTTCTCCGTGTTTTCGCCACGTTTTCTCCTGTCTGCTCGCCACAACTGCAGAGGCTTCCGCGCTTTCGCCTTCGGCCCAGGCCGTGGCCTCGAAGCACGTGACGCACTTCGTGAAGAACCACGGAAGAAAAAAGAAGATCTTAAGACTGCGTAAGAAGTGTAAGAAAGAAGTGTGGAAACCACCAGCACTTCAGCAACAAAGCTCCAAAGAAGCTACATCACAGCTCACAGGGTGGAAAAACCGTGAAAAACCGTCAACCTCAGGCAGCCACCTCGGCGAAATAAAACCTGGAGCGACCAGTGCATGGTGAACGCAAGTGATGTTCTTGACAAATGTGCATTGCGCGACTTCGCTTCATGGATCTTCATGGATCTTCATGGGAAAGTGCCTTTGGGCACATTCTATACGCACATTCTGGTTCGAAGATGGTGACAATGCTTCCGAAATAAGTTTCCTGATCAACACATTGAGCATTCGTTTGAAAAAATGCATCACATTATCAATGAAAATCAACACTTTGTTACGCCACTTTGTTGTCGAACTGTTGTCGTTGCGGTCGTTTCCGGAAGCTGTGTCTCCAGGCCAGTTGGCCGCACGCAGCTCCGCAGCGCGCAAGGCCTTCTCCTACGACTCCGCGCTCGAAAAACATTGGAACGTTGTTGTACAATCATGTAACGTTGGAGTAGTATACTACGTATTGTACAAATGTATACTATGTAGAAATATGTAGAAATATGTATATTTTGGTACATTGTGTACAATCTACTATTCATCTTCATTTCATTTCATTTTATTCACGGATTCATCTATATCTATATCTATCCATATCTATCTACTTCACTAAGTCTATGTATGAATCCATATGTTCATGTCTTCTATCTTGGTCTTGGTGGAATGAATTTTGGATTCATTTGGCTCTTTCCTGAATTTCCTGAATCTTGGTTTATTTCAGTTCAACCGGAGAATATTTTGTTATATTTTGTTTGTGTTGACAAGCTGTGCATCAAGGAAAATCATCATTGCTGAATCCCTGCGGTTGAAAAAACAAAATGATTGTTAATCACCATTCTTAATCATCATATCACCTTCTGCTCCGCCTGGCGCAGCTCCGCCCGGGTCTCGGCAGCCTCGACCTCCGACCCGACGAGAAAACAACGTGAACACAACGTGAACAACGCCGAGTATATCAGTCGTGTACAACTCGTGCACATTTTTCATATGTTTCATCATCTTTCCATATCTTTTCACATGAACGCTTCACAGTTCATTCTGCGATTCATCGAGAGATGACGCCGCCTTTCAGAATTTCAGATCTGATTGTGTCTACACTCGTCGACATCTACTGTGTATATCTGCATATGACGTGAAGTTCACCCCTTGGTATTTCTGGCAGCGGTGCATGCAGAGTTCCCCCAAGACGCCCGCTTAGCACGCTATTTTCAATGTTTGTGTCTCTGCATCCATGAGGCCCTTCCGGCCAGTGCCTTCTCATCCGCCATAGACACCACCGCCTGCGCATTTCCAGCACTATTTCAGAAAACATTGAAAATGTCTTCCCATGTCCTCTCCCAACTTGTTCTGGAATCCTCGTGTTTTCCAAGAAAAATGACTCGTTTTGCTGCTCCTCCTCCGCTTCTTGAAGCAAACGAGCTCCTTCGGCTTCTGTTCCTATGGACTTCTTTGCCTGAACCATCACCAGCGGCACTTGATGGCAATTGAGAGTGACCATCTTGATGGCAATGCTACTGCAGTATCCTGTAGCATCCTGTAGCCATCTTGACATATCTTGACCGTGACATCTGTGGCCATATCATCTTCAACGAATGGTTGATGTCGAAAGTCTCATGGGCAATTCAAAGGGACAAAGCAAATCGCAGCGAAAGATTCAGAGTTTTCACATGTTTTCACCATTCAGCGGTTCTTTTTTCTTGCGTTGCAGCTGTGTAGGGAGACGCCCTTTCGCTGGTGACACGTCAGCTACACTTCTCGGAAACGGAGCATTCCCATTGATGCACCAAGAATCCAGGTTGAACCAAACTAGATCGTAAGTTACATCAAGTATCATCAAGTGATCTATAACATTAACAGATCAGAACGGTTTCCACAAATTCAACCTTGGGACTTTCTGGTGAGACTTTGAGGTGAAACTGTTGCAAGGTGCAGTCGGACTCTTTCCGAAGCACCTGGAGAGCTCATTCCATATGGGCGACCAGTTGCCTTACATCGCAGGCGCTCCTACCAGATTCCACATCCTTCGATTTGACTTCTGCTGGAAAAAATTAAGTACAGTCTCAAAAAAGAACGCTGGCACCGTTCGTTCCACCCAGCGATCACATGAAGTGGTGATGCATGGTGTGTGCGATTCATGACTGTCTGAGCCTTTAAATCTCGAATGATCTCGAATGTATTCAAATATTTCTTCAAATCTGTCAAACATTGTGTCCAACATTCCGTCCAGTTTGATGCGGCTGCCGAGCTCTGCCATATTTCAACCAGGCGACATGTTTTGATCTCGTTGCTCTAATGTGCGATCGACCAGATCAAGCAAGGGCTTGTTCAAAGCTACCTCGGAGTAGGACAAACAGTGACAAACTGTGACAAATAACACACGACTGTTGCAGGATCTCCAGGGTATCTGCAGCTGGATTCTTATAATGCTTAGTAGTGCTTTAATCAACAGCAGGAAGCAAGGAAACAGCCTGTACCTAATAATTCGTCTTGGTTTTGTCTTCTTAGCATCATGCCTCTTCCTAGCATAATTGAGACAAAAGCATCAAAGTATATCAATCACCAACATGCAATTGCACAATCAAAGTGCAAACCAAAAGCACTTCGGTTGAATGCCCCTTACTTCAGTTGGTTGGAAGCAGCAATGCGATGCAAATCCGCCCGCACCGAAGGTGCTGGGGCGTGATCTTCCGGATGGCACTCGTAAAAGGTTACAGGTTTACCTGGGGGGGGGGGGGCATTTTTCGGCCAAAACCTCCTGTTTTTGATAGGTCGTGACGCTCGCCTTCAAAAAACACTGTAAAAAACAGTACGGAAGACACCTGTTCGTGAACGCGCCCGTCCAAAATCGGCAAGCGAAAAGTGAAAAAAAACCGTGTTTTTCAACTTTTTGACCTCAATTTTTTGGTTTGCAACATCTTTTTTTGCGGTTCCGCAGGTGGCCGGGCCCGGAGGCGGATTTTTGAGTTTTTGGACCCGTTTTCGGACTGATTTTCGTCGTTTTGTGATAGCAGAAACACTGGTTTTTACAGTGTTTTTCTGTTTTCTGCATGCTTGACGGCTAGCTTCAAAACTTCCAAAAACCTCGTAAATTACGCTGTTTTATGTTACGGTGTGAATGAAAACATCGTAAATACCAGTGTTTTTTGACGTTGGTTAAAAAAACACTGTAAATTACAGTGTTTTTGGCCACCTGACCCTCAAAAACCATGGTATTTGCAGTGGTTTCTGCTTCTCACCGCGCAAAAACACTGTAAATAACAGCAATTTCGCCGTTTTTTCATGTTTTTCGTTATTTTTTGAACTGCGTTGGTCCGCTATACATGGCTATCAAATTCTTCGCGTGTTTTTTTCCGACAATCAGTACTTTCGGATGTTTTTGGTCTCAATGGCCGACATCATTGGCAGTTACGAGCGGCTGCCCAACGATGCGGTGCGGGCGGTTGCCGTCGCGAAGCGACGTGAATATAATGTTACATTCTGTCGTCTGACTCATTCTAAACACACCAATACATGGTGCAAATGTGGAATTCCAAGGCAAGACATGCCAAAGCAAGAACAGACAATGCAAAGTTGGAATATGTTGGTAAGAAAGGCGATGCTTCTTCTGAGGCAGAGGCCTCTGTGTCAGACATCTCAATTTCACGCTGGGCTGCCTTCCATTCCATCCTGAGTTGCTTCCCCCGGGGCGCAAACAACACGTGCACTTGCACAGAAGAAGCAGGCAGCTGCATCATGAATAGCAAACCCCCAAATCCAAAAGGATTGAAGTATTCTAAGTCGATTCCGAACGTATCAAGACAATCCAAGACAATCCAAGACACTGTTTAATGATTTCCTTTTGGTAAGCAACACTTCGCTCACGTCGATCGATGACCTATTGTTGGCACATGCTGGAAATTGTGAAAAGGGCCGCTAGTTTCCATTTCCATCCAGGCACACAGGTGAAAATGGTGAAAAATGGTGAAAAATGGTGAAAAATGGTGAAAAATGGTGAAAAATGGAATGTCAGGAATGTCCCATCATGTCCCATCTTTGACATGCACTCCCGGTCCCGCCAGGTCCCCACCCAAAAGCGCCATCCAAACAACCACCCCCTCTGCATTTGAAGCAAGTAAAACATAGTAAAACATAGTAAAACGCAATGGAAACCAGAAACTCGGTCGACAGATGTTGACAGGCAGTGAAAGTTGATTAAAGACCCACGATTGAAACGAAACGAGCAAGAAACTCCTGCAAGTGTAATGAACGATTAAAATGGTTAAAGTGTAGTGTAATTCATGATCGTTTGAACATTTTTGGAGCGTGGAGCCAGTGGAGCCTTTTGTTTTTCCACCGTGTTGAAGTCTTGGGTGTCGCGTTCCATGATCTGAGCCTGCGATTCGTCATGATTCGTCATGATTCGTCAGGATTCGTCGCAGGTTCCAAAGGCCTTTTGGAGGCCCTGGGTGACCTGGGTGCTTTGCCTTTTCGGCATGGCATGCCCGTACCATGGCCACCCTGCCTGGATGTCCGTCAAATACCTCATCAAAAACCCCGCTTTCACAACGACAGCGAGATCCCTCTGCATTTACTTGTTCCATGGAACTCATATGTCAGTGAACAATAGTGAACAAACATTGCCACATTTAAAATTCGGGACATCATACAGCTTACCAGTATATCCAATGGCTTCCCAACGGCTTTCCAATGGTTTTTGGCCGTTTTGGCGTTGTTTCCACTGTTTCCACAGGCATCGCCAAGGAACTTGTCGTCGTCTTTTCGACTGTCCCTTTCCTGCATCTGTTTCAACCTCAGCATATGTGAGCGCCGTCGTGAAATTCAGCTCGTACATATGTCTCGGACACTCTGATGTCCATTGATACTCTGTACGCTCTACACATCTCTATATTGATGTCCCATACATTTCCTATATCGCACATATCTGTCCATATCTACTCAGGTGTTCTTATCCATATCCATCCCTATCCATCCATCATCTCTTGTTTTTCTCTCTTTTTTGGTTGCCCCGCTCGTCCCCCCTGAGTTTCCGACAGATACGCCTGGTTTTCCAGCCGCATCTGTTTCAACCGCTGCTGCTTGATGGCCTCGGCCTCGAAGTAGTGCCTCTCTCCACCGCAGATGTCGTTTTTTTTGTCGCATGCGTTGGTCAACCGGTGAAAAACGGAGAAAACATAGTTGAAAAATACCAATATATATATATATATGTCCCAAAACATATGCAAAAATGTGTCATACAACATGTTGAGATTCTGTGAGACTTTTCGAATTTGGAAGAGTTTGGCAGAGCCTATCTTGCTCCTCCTGCTGAGCTCTGGCTCGGGTGGCATCCGCGTCCCCCGACTCTTGGCGGATCGAGCTCACATTTTCCTACCAGCGCAAATAAATCGCAAATAAACAGTTTATAAACTGATCATGATGATTTATCATGTTGAATAATGCTGGCGGTTTCGATGCATCTTTCCAGAACAAATGAGGTTTCGCGGCTTTGCTTCTGATGTTTGGACACTGTTGCACATGGAGATTCGTCTTCACATTCTGCTATGTTGGTTCACACAACGAACATTGAGTCACCAAAACAAGTGACACCTCGTGACACCTTGTCTGTGCACAAAAGGCCTGGCCTGCAGTTTCTTCATGAGCTGCGCTTGCCTCTCCATGCCTTAGCTGAGGATCAACGACTGACTTTCAACGTGTTTGTGCACAAAACAGGCGAGACGGGCACATCGCAGCCGAGCTGCGCTCTGATAATTCTTTGGCCTTGGCTTCCTCTTGTTCATCCAGGACCCGGTTGTACTCCTTGCAAAGCCAAGCAAAGTTTGAAAAAAGGAAAGAAAGGGAGAAGCAATGAGAAGCAAGGCTTAAACTGCTTAAACTCCAAGGCAAGGAAACATAAGGTTCATCTGTTTCCAACATTTTACAACACTTCGGCATTCTCTTTGCTTCACACAGCTTTGGATCAGCATATCCTACTCATGTCGGGGCGAGGCCAGGCTGCTCTCCTTGATGGTCTCAGCTTCTTTCTCCTTGGCTTCTCTAGCAGCTTGGTCGCGTTTGCGTTGATCCTGGCACCGCACTTCTCTCTTCGGAGCACGGAGTCCACGGATCGCAAGTTTCGTATCAGCCATTTCAAAATTATATATATATAAACATATATGTATGTATGTATGTATGTATGTATGTATGTATGTATGTATGTATGTAGGTAGGTAGGTATGTATGTATGTAGGTAGGTAGGTATGTATGTAGGTAGGTAGGTATGTATGTAGGTAGGTATGTATGTATGTAGGTATGTATGTATGTATGCAGGTAGGTATGTATGTAGGTAGGTAGGTAGCTATGTATGTATGTATGTATGTAGGTAGGTAGGTAGGTAGGTATGTATATGTATGTATGTATGTAGGTAGGTATGTATGTATGTATGTAGGTATGTATGTATGTATGTAGGTATGTATGTATGTAGGTATGTATGTAGGTATGTATGTATGTAGGTAGGTAGGTATGTTTGTATGTAGGTAGGTATGTATGTATGTAGGTAGGTATGTATGTATGTAGGTAGGTATGTATGTAGGTATGTATATATATATATGTATGTATGTATGTAGGTAGGTAGGTATGTATGTATGTAGGTAGGTATGTATGTATGTATGTAGGTAGGTATGTATGTATGTAGGTATGTATGTGTGTAGGTAGGTATGTATGTATGTATGTATGTATGTAGGTATGTATGTATGTATGTATGTAGGTATGTATGTATGTACATATGCATGTAGGTAGGTAGGTATGTATGTATGTAGGTATTTATGTATGTATGTATGTAGGGCGAAGGCTGGGGGTTCCCCGGAAGCCAATTGCAATTTATTTGTATGGATCTGCAAAATGTTGATTTTACACTGTGTTTTACAGTGTTTTTTGCCTTTCCTTCAAAGTGTTCCATCAGTGAAAGTGTCAATGTCGGCGCGGATAAACAAGGAGTTTGTCCGCGCAGAAAAATGATAAATTTACATCTTCCATGGATGGCCAAACATGTGCGCAACATTTTTCCTATTGGAATTGCGGTTTCATTATTGTTTTCAAAATGTCAAAATTTCCTACTGGAGAACCATGGACGAAATGAACATCACATCTTCTTCATCTTCGCGTCCAGAAACCTTTTTTTTGCATGGTGATGGAAAATGTTGTTTTCACACTGTGTTTTACAGTGTTTTATGTTTCTCTCTGAGTTTGTTTGATCAATCGAAGTTCCATTTTCATTGCGGAAGAACTTGACGTTTGTCCGCGCCGAAACAGGATAAATTTAGATCTTCCATGGATGACTAAAGGTGTGTGGAACATGCTAACCATTGGAAGTGCGTTTTCATGCATTTTTGGTTGTTCTGTTGATAAGTAGAACATGTGATAATTCACT